CATGAAATGACGAAGAAAGAAAGTGAGAAACAAAAAAAAAAAAAAAAAAGAAAGAAAGTAAGTAAATAAGTGGACAAAAGAAGCATCTGGAGACTTGGAAGAAAAAAAAGAAAAAACAAAATCGCATACAAATACAAAGAAACGTTTGTTGTACAAATTTTATGTATCTACGTACAAAAATTTGCACGTGATTGTGATGTACGTTTGAAGTAAGACGCGTGAAAACACGGATGGAGACGGGATCTCTCCCTCCCTGAAACTTCGGTTTCGCCCCGGCCCAAGTGATTTAACCCCTTCGTTAACGCACTCGACTTCACGTCGTGGTTCTATTTCACGTTCCACCTTGCGAACGCGAGATCAACGAACGAAAGCTGCAACTAAGGCAAGTTACGTCTACGGTGCTAGATCGTACGCTACTTGATTACTGTCGACGAGAACGAAACGTAAATAAAGAGGTGGTATTCGACCCGTCGAGTTGTTGGACGTGTTGGTTGTAACGACCGCGCGACCGTAAACGAAAGGGTTAAGTCGTTAAACGTTGCCAACAGAAAAAAAGAAAAAGGAGAGAAAAAAAAAAGTAGAAGAAACAGAAGCACTACGACGCTAGTGTTGTTACATGAACCAATCAAATGTAATCAGGCACTAAACAGACCACGGAGATGTAGTATATATAAATTCATCGTTCTCTATGTGTTCTCTCATCACTAAAGCTATATATGAAGAAGCAAGGAACGAGGTAGAGTCAAAAAAAAAAAAAAAAGAACCGTATTCCACTTTGGACGACAGAGACCCGCGACGGTTTCTTTCATTTTTGGCGCGCGATTTGCGCGTCGCGACCGGGGGAACAAAAGCGAAGAAAAAAAAGAAAAAAAAAAGAAGAAGAAGAAACACAGCCTGTGAAATCTGTGATCGTGTGAACCGCGTTTGCTTTCTTTACGCTCTTTTCGCTCTTTCGCGCGTTTGAGGCACGCGCGCGACAGAGACCCCTTTTACTCGATCATCCACCGGCTACTTTCGTTCTCCTATTATATGTGTATCGTAACTTCTAATCGAAAGCGGCTGCCTGGCCATGGTTTTCTTTGCGCTCGAGGAAAGACCTCGAACAAAAGAGAAATCGATGGAACTCTAGCCTGTATATATACATATAAATATATATATATATATATATATATATATATATATATATACATACATACATAAATATAAGTGTATATATATATATATTTATATATATTTATATAACATGTGTGTTGTTCGATCGACAAAAAGCAAAAAGTTTATTTATATATCCCGTGAATGTGAACACACGCGATCGACGCGATCGATTTGGAGTAGACGGGCCCGTACCTTGGGCAGGTCGCCCCTGTTGCTGTCCTCACTGCTCGTGAACGTGCTAGAGGTGTCTATCCCGGAGTCTTTGGTCGCGCTGTCTTGGCTACCCTGCCGATCGGCCTCCCAAGACCAATCCTCCTGAGGGCCGCCGACATTGGTCCCACCGTCAAATCGCACTGTCTTTTTCCCCCTCCTCTCCGTGAACCTAATGGACACGCCACATACACAGGAGATACGAGAACGTGTGTCTGTGTGTGTGTGTATCTCTCTGTGTGTATATGTGAGTATTTGCCTGTCTGTCTGTCTGTCTGTCTGTCTGTCTGTCTGCCTGTCTGTCTATGTTTGTCTGTGGTAACTGTAGTAACTGTGCTGTCTTTAACGTGGATGTTACGTGTACTCTGTGTACTCTGTGTACTCTGACGTCACAGTCTCGCACTCTACCGTGTTTCTACATCTTTCGAACTCAGAGACAGATCTCCTACGCTACGTGACGACCATCGATCCCGAGTTTGCCAGAGACGGTGAGTTCTCACACAGTGACTCGAAATCGCGTTCGTTGCGATCGTCAATCACGATCCATTTTTCGTTCGATCCGCGGTTCGTTTCTCTTTTTTTTTTTTTTTTTTTTTTTTTTTTTTTTTTGTTTCTTTTCTTCAAGCGTTTCGACGCGCGAGAACGAAAAGCAACAGAATTTAGCATCCAGGTATCGCCAGAGACTGGCAATCCCGGGACGACCGACGCGAACAGCGCGAAAAGGAAATGAAAAAAAGAAGAAACGAAAAAATCAGATCAGTAAACACGAAGAAAATACTCGTCGCGAAATACTCGAGGGGAAGAAAAAGAAAGTTTCTGTCAGAGAGGAAAGAAAAAGAAAAGAAAAAAAATGAACGAAAGGAAAAGAAAAGAAAACGAACGCACGATCGCCAATTTTCACACACACCTCCTACTGTCGGAGCGCCACTCGTCGCCACTCCTTCGGAAGCTCCGTCTCACAAGAGTGCTCTCCTCTTTTCGCGGCTCTCGCGGTGGATGATGACCGTTATATTCGATGGTCATCGCAGTCATGTTGTGGTGGCCGTTGTGGGGTCCGTTGTGCCTACGTCCACCGCCGGACATTGATATCGGACCTCCCGTATGGTGGTAGTACCCCTTCCCTACAGTAGATCCAAAAACGTTTTTTCCTCTGCTCTCTTTCTCCGCTATCCGATTAACCGTCACACCTTCGACTCTAGTTTCTCCGTATATCTCTCGTTAAAACTTCTCGCGAAATTCCCATTTGTCTTTCCCTAACTGTCAACCCTTCCGCCTGTTTGATCCTTCAGAGATCAGAGTTTGCCAGACTCACGAGACGAGAATTCCTCATTCCTAATCCCGCACTCCTACCTACAACACCGTCTTACGTCTCACGTCTCACGTCTCACGTTCTCACTCGATCGAGGACCTAACCACGTGTCCATTTCTTTTTCTTTTTTTCTTTTTTCCTATTTCTCCCCTGCTTCTAACATCCTCCTGCTACCGAGATACATTACGTGTGCGTTTCAGCGTACACGCTGAGTCGAATAGAACGAGCCAAGAGATCGGTGCAGGCTTGCCCTTCTATCGGGGGTGGGGGAAGGGATCAAAGTGTGTGCGAGGAACGGTGCTCGTTCGGACCGGAAGTCATCCGGAGCCACGGAAGAACGCCGCTGTACACGCTTCGCTGTGTGTGCAGGGGTGTGTCTGTGTGTTGTATGTGTGTGTACGTATATGTGCGTGCACGATATAGCATAATATATATATATCGACATGGTTTCTCCAAAAAGGCGACCACAGAGATATATTTCCCTGTACGTACGCGGGGAACGAACGTTGTTCGCGTACATACGTTCGTAACGGGAGGAAAGAACATCGAGAAAGAGAAGAGGGAATTCCGCACGCATCGGGCGAATCGGCGATCGTTCGAAAGGTTGAATCGCGCCCGAGTGGGCGAGAAAAGTCGCGAGCGTGCGAGAATTCGCTTTTAGCACAGGGGACTTTGGAACATCTTCGGAACAACAAAGGGCCGAGACGAGATAATAAAAATAAAAAAAAAAAAAAATAGTCTTGGTCGTCGGTGTACACGGTATATCGCTTTTGCGGGTAGAAACGTGTGGATTCTTCGAGACGAACATCGAAGCGGAACACAATGTGAGAATGTCGGGAGTGTGTATCGCTTCTGGTAGGCGACTTCTCGTGTGTATATTCGTGGCGTGAGTGAGGTGTAAACGATAGATACTTTGTATACCTGTGCACGATTCGTAGCCGTCCAAAGTAGAACAAATAAAATCTGTTACAGCTCTGCCGACCGATCGCATAATCCTCCTCTGCCGAGGCGCGAATCATCTTCTCGCTCGCGGCTGCGAATTTCTCTCCGTCGCGAGATCCCGATCTCGATTTCTGTTCTTTCTGTCGGAAGACAGAGAGAGAGAGAGAGAGAGAGAGAGAGAGAACGAACAATCGTTTCGGTTCCGTGAAAAAGAAAAAAAAAAAAAAAGAAGAAAAAATCGACGTCGAGCTGAAACTCAAACCGGCGCACGTGGTGCCCCCTTTGGCCAATCGTTCGCTCGTTTTCACGCGTCGTTAGGCCAGTCGAAAAAGCCCAACGACGAATTGAACTGCAAAGAAATGACCTAATACCCCGTTTGAGGGTAAAAAAAGCAAGAGACAATATCGAGGTCGATCGGTGTAGATTTCCTGAAAATTCCGACCGCAACACGTACGCGACCGGTCGGCAGATGACGTACACACACATGCACACGCATACGCAAAGATATACATATAATATATATATATATTATTTATAAAATATATATATATGTATATAGGTAAATATATATATATGTATGCGTTCGATTCATATATATTATATTATATATATATATATATATATTATATATCCATATATAATATATATATATATATATATACTTATATATATCTATATAGTGGAAAACGAACTGCCTTAGTTTGCATTTGAGAAAATATAGTAGGTACCGCGAGGAACTGACGATTCATTCTGTCCCCGGGCTTCTCCCTCGAGCTCCTGGAAGTCACCACCATGGACGGCGGTTTATCCCCTAAAAGGCGATCTCTCTTTAAGTCACACATGTTGCGTCACGGTGGTTCGCTTATCGCTAAACTTTAAAAGAAACAGAACACGAATAAGAGCGGTCGCGATTTTGTCTTTTTTTCCCCCGAGAAACTCGCGACGACGATTCTAAGAATCTTTCTTTCTTTTTTTTTTCTGCTTTTCTTTTTTCGGTTTCTTCCCCCCCCCCCCCCCTTCCGGAGAATTCGAGTGTGTGTAGATGCATGTTCAAAAAGGAGAGAGCGGGTGACACAATACAAGTAGTCTTTCGTTTTTCTTTTTTCGTTTTTCTCTCTCGAAGAGTATCAACTACGCTTTGGTGGTTCGCAGGGGTGGAATGGTAGTAAATCTCTGAACACAATAATTCTGGGTGTATCTATACGCTAGATATATAATATATATATAGAGAGACTCGGTCTCGATGCAAACACAGAGGGAAAAGAAAAGAAACAAAGATTGGTCACTGGCTATGAGAAACTGCTCTATATGTTTAAACAATCGAAACACTGTATATAAACTAATGGTAATCGTAATACATTGCAGGCAGAGTCTGGTGTTCTCTCGCTACACGCAAGAAGTAAGTCGTCGTTTTCGTTACGATACGGCCCGGCCTAGAGAATTCAATCTGGAATCGTTTCTGAGAAAGGAGGAGGATCCAGCCGGGTGAGGATGAGTATAGGGACATGGTGGGTGTCTCGTTCGTCGTGCACGCTGCGAATAAGGCTAAACTATCACGCTTCATGAAACTGGCAAATTGGCCATAGGATCGCCTCGCGTCCCGTGCTTATCTAATAAAACCAAACTGTCTGTCTGTTAACCCATATATCGCGCGTTCCGCGTCCTGGATTTACGCTGCTCGAAAGTTTCGACCGTGCTGAGAATTTCGGGAGAGAAATGGTAATTCACTCGGGTAAATATAAATATGTTATCATAGTATTTCTCAGATACCGAAACTGTAGTAAATGACCAATTCTTGATATTTCGTTTGGAATTTTGTAAACTTGCAACTTGAGACGTTTGAATGATTCTTAATTGATCAAAATAAAAGCTTTTTCTTTTCTTTTTTTTTTCTTGGTAGTAGATTGAAGAATAGATATTTACCGTTACGATATTTATATTTGCGAGAAGATTCATTTCGTTTGGAAAGACCGATCCAAACTTCTGAGCAACAGTGTGTGTACGCGCTTCAACTTCACGATACAATCGGTTATAAAAATACGAATTTTACGCGATTAGTTACGAGCTGGCAAGCGTACTTGAACTAATTCGACGTCTCGCGGCAACGAAAACGCGTCCCATTTTCCAGCGCCGCGACGTGGGTTGGGGCGGTTCGGGGTTGAAAGAGTGGCGATAATCGGTATTCCGCGCGAAAGACCAGCATCCTTTGCATAATCAGCCTCGGCAGTCGCTACAAAGTATCGCGCGGGAAAAAGGGAACGTTTCACAGGGTGAAACGGGCGAGCACAGCACCAGGGTGTCAAAGGGTGTTTAAAGCGTACTCGAGGTAAGCTGGATCATCGTGCGTCTACAGCTATTGCGTAAAATAGCGATAGTTTCTCGATAGTTGTACACGACGAGTAGAAAACGGCGATAGTGACGACTAGCGTAAGTAGATACGGACAGTCGTTGGTAGTCGGAGTCTACGGATGACGCAAAGTCTTAATTTAAAAGTTAGATGACACCGACTTTGTCCCTACGGATCCACCGGTCCCCGATGGAGTCGCGTTCGTATCTGGTTCGCGATACTCCCACGTTGAAAAATCGCTAAACTTAGTAACGCAGTGTTGTATATACTCCGTTCCAACGACGAGCGAGACCAACGAGGGAGAAAAGTAGCGGCGGTGGTGGATTCCTCGACACAGAAAGCTCAAGATTGACTAATCGCAAACCGAGACGACGATCGCAACCCCGTAGTCGCGAACGTCTTTTCATTTGGCAGACGTCCGCGACGTAACGTCGCCACGTCGTCGTCGCGATCTCCGCGTTTACACATCGTGACCCATAATTTCGCCGAACACAGTGAAAGCTTGTAAAAGACTTTTGCAAAGAAGTTTGTTTAAATCTTTGTCTGTACGAGGATTCTAAATATTCCCCGAAAGAGTACTTGATCATTGATTACATAGCAAAAAAAAGAAAAAAAGAAAAAAGAAATTCAAAATTTATCCTCGTCAAAATTTCCAATTTTCCTATGTACGTAGCTTTAAAATTTTTTACTTCAGGTAATGATTTCACGCGTGGGATTTCATACAATGGGAGAGCGTATGACGTCTACAAGAAATCGCGTCTTTATGCAATATTTCGTAAGTATCCGCGACAATGCATTCCGTTGGAAAGTCTTTTCTCTTTTCACTCTACTAGCACCCTTTTTCAAATTGCTTCGCCGCGTGAACACTGCATTCGCGAAAAAAAAAAAAAAATATATATATATATATATATATATACAGTGAGCAACGAAAGTATTCGAACGGAATGATAGAAAATAATTGATTATACAAAAATTGCATAATAAATTGCAATTTATTCAAACGAATTGTTTTTATACATACATTTGCTAAATGTATTCAAAGTTAGAGAAAAATTAAACCATAAGTAAACAAATTACATAACATTTTTTACGAGCAAAAATTAAATGTGTCAAGAAATTTTTGCTTCCAGCAGGACCGAGACCCTAAACACACGGCTAAAATAGTACAAGAATGGATCTTGGATAATGTGCCCCATACATTACCCAGCCCACCACAGAGCCCTGACTTAAATCCCATCGAACATTTATGGGAAGAACTCGATAGGAGACTTAAAAGAAATAATATAACGAGTAAAGATTCTTTAAAACAAAATATCCTAGCAACGTGGTACTCTGTGGATTCAAGTATTACCAAAAAGTTAGTCAATACTATAGAAAATTGTCTTCGAGAGGTTATTAAAGCCAAAGGTGGCCCAACTAGATATTAAAATGCAATATAATCACATATATTGCATTCTATCATGACTATTAAAATTGCGTTCGAATAGTTTTGTTATATCTTATACGTACTTATCCGTGAAAAA